TCTTCTTGATTTATTCTTTCTATTTCTTGTTGCTTTTTGTTTTTGTTATAATTGTGTTGTGTTTGTTCCTTTTCTACATTCTGACTTTTTGCAATTATGTTTAGATTCTTTTCAGATTGTTCTTCTTCAGTTTCTTTCAGTATTTCTCTTATTAATCGTAAAAGAGCTACCTCATATGGGTTTTGCTCTGTTAGTATTGCTACAATTCTGTCTTCTTTATCTGATACTGCATATGTTTTGCCTGCCTTGTTAAAAAAAACTTTGTTATGCAAACTACTTATTGCCTAGTATGATCTTTTTATAAAAATAGTTTGTAGGCTCTCTCTATATTTTTGTAAAATCTGTAATATTACAAATTATTCATATATTATATTTAGTATATATATTAAATTTTATAGAGTATATTTATTATTTTAATCTTTATATTAATAATTAAATATATTTTAAAATTTAATAAAATTATTTTTAAAAATACATGAATCTCAATTGTACAATTTAACTTAGTTAAAAGTTATTTACTAAAATTTAGCAATCTGTTTCAGATATAAAGTCAAAAAAACAAATATTTTTTATATTTATATTATTATGATGTTAAAAATTTATAAAAGATTTCTTTTTATAATAAAACAAAATAATGTTCATAATTTTATATAGCACTTTATTTTTTATTTTTATTTTTATTTTTTTTTTAATATTAAAGTTCCTGCTTTTGGAAATTGATGTTTTTATTCAAGTATTTAAACACAGATGCCTTTAGAAGCTTCTATATATAGGAAATTACAACTAGTTATACATGCACTTTTGGTGTCTAATTTAAGTAGTCCATCTATATATTATTATACAAGTTCTATACTAGATGCCATACTTGCAAATCAACTACAGGTCTTGTTTATTTAAACCCTCTGCATATGTAATCCAACTTGTGATTATAGGAAAATCTTCTGAACTATATTTATCCAAAGTACTTGATGCTTTTGAGACCCTTAGAACTAGTTTATCCTTAACAAGAAACTTACTAGAACCTTTTATGTTTTACATATAGCTGATCTAGTTTTATGTAACATACTATAGTTATCTAATACTTGCAGTCACAAGGGTTACCTGTTTAACTACTACATTATATTATTTTTACTCTTGTAAAATTCTTTAGAATTCCAATACTTATCATCATGATGTCTTTTTTATCATCTCTTACTAACCATTACTTAGGACCAACAGGACTCTCTTGACTTTTAATTTAGATAGTTTGATATGGTATACTTATGTATTCTTTTCCTTTAACAATTTCAGTAGTCTGGTTAGTTATATGCTTCTTTATATATCTTGACATCTGGTTTATCTGCCTATTTTTTTAGAGGTGTTTTATGAGCTTTTATCAGTTTGACTGTACTGTCAAAAGTTCATGCTATTTCTTTATTCAGAAATTTTCATATAGGCTTCTGACTCTTTGGTTCTTTAGTTTACTGTACCTAATGGTCTTATTATGGATTTGCATCAAAGTTTTATATGACACCAGTTATTAACATTCCTCTATATATGTATAATATTATATTTGGCATAAATGCTCTAAGCTCCTATTCAAGATAGTGTAACTTAAGGTTACAGATATACAAATCAAACTGATTATCAAGAAACAGTTTGCTATAACACAAGTTAATTTCCAAATTTCATCATAGGTGGAATTTGAATCTTAGATCTGCTACTTGGAGGATAACAACCAAACCACTATACTAGAATCATCATTCTCTATATAATACTTTATATTATAGAGAATCTTAATTATTTATAAAAATTTTATTATAAAGAAAAAAATAAAAATTTATTTTAAACAATTAAAAAAATAGTTGAAATTTTTAATAAACATAATATAATTTTTAGTGAAAGTTTATTTTAGTTTTATTAAACAGTATATACAAGTTCTTATATATTAGAAAAGTTTATAAATATGCTATATATTATTAGTAATCTTTAGATTACTATCGATATATAGCATTTCTGCTGGGTATTACATTAGTAATTACTAATAATATATAACAAAAATTTGTTAAATTTTCTTAAACTTTGACTAATATTTTCTCAATAACTACTAATCCAAATTGGCACAAATTTTTACTATATATAGTATATATATTTAACTATATATTATTAAATTTTAGTTAATTTAAATAATTCATTTTTGAGAAATTGCTTGTAAATGATAGTTAATTTTTTTTAAAAAATCAATTATTATTTACAAGCAATTTCTCAAGAATGAATTATCTAAAATAATTAAAATTTTAATATTATTTTATATAGTAAAAATTTGAACCAATTTAGATTAATAGTTATTAAGAAAATATAAGTCAAAATTTAAGAAAATTTAACTAATTTTATAAAAATTATTATTAATTGATAATGATTATAATTATTTATAATTATTATATATCAATAATTGTTATATATTGATAATAATATATATCAATATATAGCAACTAATTGATATATATTGATTATTTTTAATTAATATATATTGATTAAATACTATATATTGATACAAATCTGCTTAAAAATTTTTCTGATATATATAAGTTAAATTTTTTTCAAATTCAAAATATAACTGTATTTTTATTTATTGAATCTCATTTTGATCAACTTGGTTTATATATTTAAAGTAATTAAATACCTTTTGCTCTTCTTTTTGATATTGAGAATTTTATTGTTTTAAATAATTATTTATCAGATTCATTTATTTTAATTTTTCAAAATATATTTAACATAACTTATAAAAATATATCAATCATTTTTTTAATCATCCAGCATGATCTTTATTTAAAGCTACTCAAATTTTTAATCCAAATTTTACTCAGCTTATTACTGCTAATTATAATATTTATGCTTATTATCATATAATTCATAAATTAGATAATTCTTCTTCTATAATATATAAATGATCAATTTATTATAATTTAAGCTTAACAACTATTAAATATAATAATTTAGCAAATTTTGGAAAAAAATATCTAAGCAATTACCAAAATTAAGTAAAATTGCTTAATAATATATTTGACTCCTGATTTCTTCTTGTAAGGTTAAATGAAGTTTTTCTAATTATAATAATATTTTAGCAGAAAATAGGCAAAATCTTAGTTTAAATTCTTTATAAATGCTAAATATAATGTATTTTAATCAAAATTGTAACTAAATTTTATATCGTAATAAAAAACATTTTTTGCAATTATACAAAACAACTTTTACGGGTCCCTGTACGGGGGTTGAGGAACACGTATAAGTCACGTGAAATCGCACGTTCCCTAAACTAAGATCGGTGATTGGTACGTGTCCATAACATTTAGGTTATGGACATGTGACTGGTACGTGTCCGTAGTGGAGAGTCTACGGACAGTTCTTACGGACAGTTAGGGACAGGGGAAAGTCTACGGACACGTACAAGTCACTTGAAAGCACACGTACCCTAAACTAAGATCGGCAATTGGTACGTGTCCATAACATTTAGATAGGTTAGGGTCATGTGACTGGTACGTGTCCGTAGACTTTCCGTAGGGACAGTGCGATTCACGTGATATTACTAAAACCACTAACCCTAACTGTCCCTAACTAACTATTCACGTGATTTGAACTGTCCCTAAGAACTGTCCGTAGACTTTCCGTTTTGTTACGATCACATGTTCGATCGATTGACAAAACGAGCAATTAGGTAATTAGTAATATGACTATTGATTGAAGTATGATTAGCCTTAGTAAGCACGAGGTAATTGATTAATTGAGATAATTGGATCGTAGTATATCAGTAGGCAAGCGGAAAATGATGGGAATTAACTTTGTCTTTTCTGCAAACCCGACTTTCATTCTGGCTATATCGATCATACCCACCCTACCCATTCTCTTATTATGACTGCCGTCCCGGCGGGCTAATTCAATCAAGCACTGTCTTACTTCTGATCAAAGAATTGAACAAGTTTTTTGGTATAACGATAGGGATCGTTTAAACTGTTGCCTGTTGAAACGACAGTCACAATAGGGCGATGGCCTGTCGGAACGACAGCTAATGCGTCATATATTCAAAAAAAGTAATAGCTAGTCGATACTCGATAGCGGAAGAGGTAGTACCCATATATATTCTTCATTTTTATAGTTTATTCCCAAAAATGAGAGACAAACAAATCTTAGAGCACCTATAAACATTGTACCCCTCTGCAATTTTTGACTATTAATAAACCGTACATACATGATTACAATTGAAACCAAATATTTCTTAAATTATCGATTTAATAAAGTATTTATGTATACGCTTTATTGAAATTAATAATTTAGGAAATATTTGATTCAATGTGCTACTTATTCATAGATACATTTAAAGAGAGGATTATTGTTTTTAGATTTCTTACACCATATGTGCATCAGGTATCTAAGTAACATCTGTAATATCTCGCTAAAATACTGAAAAACTAGGTTATTATTATATATTTAATTTGTTTAAAAAAAGTGTAGTATACTGTATGTTTAAACCCTGACCAAAAATAGTATTTCGTTATAATATTTATCATATTTACATATTTATAAATATCTACCGAGGTAAATAAAATTAAAGCATAATTTATAATTATAAAGGAGCGGGGATCGAATAAAGAAAAAAACTGTACAAGAAATTAAGTCAAAAGAAATTATAAAAGATTTTGGGCGCACAAATTATTAGCCCAAGTTATATATATATATACTGTATATATTAATGTTGTAATGCAAGAATATTCTATAATTGACATTTTTGCTACAGTATAACCTCGATATAACGAACTCCGATATATGTATAATGAAGTTATCTTCAATTCTTATATTTAAATTAGTCTTGTTATAGCACCAAACTATTAATAAAACGAATAGCGCGACCCTTCGTTATATCGAGGTTATACAGTATATCCAACCAATCAAAGGTATTCACGTGACGCCAATCGAGGTTATACAGTATATCCAACCAATCAGAGCCATTCGCGTGATACAAACGATCACATATATTGATCATAGTGTTGTTCACAGTGTTGAAAAAAATTGGGATTAATTGAAGTACATAAGAATGCACTACAATCGATAATATGGTCAATGTTATTAATATGGTCAATGTTGTTAATAGGGTCAATATTATTATGATTAACGTTAAGTTGAATATTATTAGTAATATAATCGACATTGATAATTTGATCAGGTTGAGGCGCAATAGTCGAGGCAATCAAAGATGAAGTTTGTTGGAGTGGATAAGTGTCTTTTTTACTTGGTTTATTTGATGACCTAGTAGTAGACTTTTTTCTTTTCGGTTTACTAACAGGATGAGGATCTTTTCTACGGGCTTCTACCAACACAGAAGCCTTTTTGGAGAGTTCCTTGTAATAGGCCCTGACATATTCGGGCTCATTACTCCATGAACGCGCAACATGAGATGAGATATCAGTCATTGAGTAAGATTTTCCAGAATTTTTTAATTGTGTCACATATTGTTTTCTATAAAAGAAGAAAGGATTTGGAGCCTTTGAAGGATAAGGACCAAGTGGTTTTCTATTCATAAAAATATTCTCATCAATTGATGGAGGAAATTCTACTATAACTAGAGGCTCGATTATGGAATTGCTACGTGCTTGTTTTAGTAATTCACGAAAATTAGGATCAAGCTTAGCACCGGGTATAGAGGGATCTTGTACGAAACGATATTTCATTTTCACAATTCAGATATAAATAAATGATAAATGATGAATGAAAAAGAAGAGGAGGACGTGTGTACTTTTATATTTATAGATATTTTATTATTTTATTAAACTTATTTATATTGTGTAACATAAGATTACATTTATGAAATTTCGCATTAAAGTTTTTGTCAAAATTTCGCATTAGAGCTTTTGACAAGCTACAAGATTGAAACAACCGACTTCAAGGTGTAAACCTTTTAATAAGAATGTAAAATATTTGTGATATCAAATGTATCTCGAAAATGAGAGCATAACATATATGAAGATATATTAAGAATTGATATTTAGGATCTTAATAAATCCCATAAGTTTATGTGGACATAAAAAATATATATAATTGTAGTAGTAACTGAACGACTTAATTCTTCAAAATACGGTAGACGTCAAATAATAAATGAGAATTGAATTAGTTAAGTTTAATAAATCGAATCTTTCCTAAATAATGTAAAATAGTTTAACTTGGCTTCAGTCGGAAATTCAGCTCCACACGGTCTGGACACATTTCCATGGAAAACCAAAGTTACACATGCCCTTAGTATATGTAGTGTTTTAGTAATTCATATGAGAACCGGAACAATTAAGATGTTGCTATTTTAACTACTGAACTAATGCAAATTGTGTATTTGTCCGTATACTTTGTTAATAAGTGTCTTGTGACACATAATTAAAGATGCGGTCATACGTCTGTACTGCAGTACTGTAAGATCGATTTGTAATAATAAGGAAAGATTTGCCGCGTACAATAAACTTTATTACTGAAACTTTTTTTATTATTTACAAATAAGGAAAAAAAAATCTAATAGTCGTGTGGTAAAATTTTTTCTCAAATGGATATATGTATGTAGCATATCGTTACGTATACGTATTTTGGATAAATCCGATCATATAGATTTTGCATGCGGTCCCATGGTATTACAAGTCGTATAATAATAGATTATCATCTTTTCCGAGAAATTCCTTAGATGAATTATTCCAAGTGTTTGTTTTTTTTTTAGATAACAATATTCAAAGGCAAAAAGAATTGTTGATCATAGATACGCCTTCACTAAAATATTCTACCATCATCCGAAGTCCGAAGTTGCCATTTTCTCCAGACTAACTTATCAATGCATAAATGCTACATAAATGCTACATAAATGCTGCATAAATGCTATCAAAAATGTTATTGCTATTTTGCTCATTAATGAATGAGCTCGTTCATTAATTAATCCTGAAGAACACAAATAAATGCTTTTGTGTTATCGTACTATAATATTTCAATAAAAATGACTGCCTATCGGGATATTTCTTTGGTAGAAATTATGCATGCAGACAAAAACATACATTGTTTATCCAATAAAGATAATGTTAAGAAATAAACAATGTTATTATTTCTTTTCTGGTTATTCCTACTTAGAATTTGGGTAATTCCATGATAGGTGGTTCTATATGGCTGAAATTTCATGCTACTCTTTAACCTCTATTATGGTAATACATGAAAGACAAATTGCACTTGTATTACATTTATCATAAAAGTAATTGCAAATCTATATTAGAACTACATTAGAACTATATTAGAAGCTGGTTCTATTTCAAGATGTGATCGGAGTATTTTTTCCGTATTTTTTCCTTGTCGCGTAAACATATCCATAAACATATCGACATGTATGCTTGTATTTAACAATCAGAAATGCTAATTCATAGATGAGTCAAATTTCACTTGATGTTATCTTACTAAGATTTATTACCTTTATTAATCCATTTGTGGTTTCATTGTTCAGTGACTCTCATTGTTTGAAAATCTTTATTTGAAATAATTTTCCTTCGCTATTAAATAATTACGACATATGCTTCGCTTTCTTTTGCCTCAATTATCCTTACATTTTTATATTGTACTTCGATATAAATGTCGATATATTGTACATCTGTATAACTGTATAATTGTGTAAGCATAAATTTCACGACACCAAATATCATACGTCTTGGCTATTTTTTTTCATTATATAACATTTATATAACATTTATAAAAAGTCAAAAATGCTGTGTTATCGTCACCTGGAAAATCACGCGCTCAAATTTGCGGGTGGCGTTCATTACAATATACTTGTATTTAGAATGATCTGCTCACCCCGGAAATCTGAATCCATTAGGCAAAACAACTATCATTAGCGTCAGATTCTGCGTTGAACTCGTGAAGCTTTGTGAAACTTCTTGCTTGTGTCTAACTAATCGCGCTCCGGTTCGATAATAAGAATTTCTATGTTTCATTGTTTAACAGATTCTCTGAATTTATGCGGATAGGCGTAATTTAGGTACGTATTAACTAAGTGTTAATATTTGTTTCTTTTAAGCGCTGTGTTTTTTGATTTGGTAATTCTGAATGAATATATTTATTTATTTATATATCTTCCTTTTCAGGTTACCTCGTTTTCGACAAATAGGTGAATTATAAAAAAAAAACACATAAAAGACCAGTTTGTTTTGTATCGAAAAAAAATCTTTGACAAAGTTTGATAAACGGAGATTACGGAGCTAGATTTCATGATATACAAAAAATATTTCCTGAAACTATAAAACACAGTGCTATAATATAGTCTTGTGTATCGAACATTATGTAATCCTTTTTTTTGGCATGTGACAGATTTCATAAGAATCGGTATTTATATTTTGTTTTACATAGAGTTGAGTAATATCATACAAAATATCGCCTTATTTGAATTTTTCTTGTTTTTATTACGTAGCCTGATTTTATATAATATCTTGTTTTACATGACAAATTGTTTTGAATTGTTAACTATATATTTATTTTATTAATCTTAGTTGGGAAAAAATAACTCTTGTGATTTGGAGATATCGATACGTAAAAATTTTAATTATCATAAAAATCAGCTAAATATAGAAACAGGTGCATTTGGTTAAATTGGTTAATATCGATTACCGATCTAAAAATAAATGCTAGCATAATTACATGCGTACAAAATCTGGTTATTCTATTTTGAATAATAATTTTTAATTTTCTAATTTAGTAAGTCTATACTAAAAAAAAAAAGTATTAGCTTTAAACTAACAAACAAACAATTAAAAAATCTTAGTATATACTTTAATAAATAAATAAAAAATAAAATAAAAAAGAAAATAAAAATAAAAAGTTGCTATTTATTATTGCTAATAATTATTATCAATATATATAATATAATATAAAATTTTATTAATAATATACATAGAGGTTTGAGTTTTATATAATACAAAACAGCAAAAAATATTCAATGTTTTTTCAAAAATGTCGAATTTTAAAGATAATATAATTAATTATAATGGATTTATTAATTTTTTTTAAATAATAAAGGTGTAATTAATTAATTATTATACAGTATAAAACAGCAAAAAACGTTTAATTTTTTTAAATGCGTCAAATTTTAAAAATAATATAATTATAATTGATCAATTATTATATAATTTATTTTGATTAGTTATAAATTATATAAATTATTTTTTTTATAAATTAAGTATCAAATTTTTAATTTTTAATAATAGACATTAACCAATAAAATTTTTTTTTTTTTTTTTTTTTTTTTTTTAACTTAAGCAGTTACACTAGTACTTTATTAGAATTCTTGAAACTATACAAATTACAGAGAATTT